GGCAAGAACAACAATGGCGCGGTCGTGGTGGTGGTGGTGGAGTGTGTGTACGTGTGTGCGTGGACGGACAGCGCGCGCGCCTCAGAAGGTAGTTTGAGTAACAGTAGAGGTATGCACACCAATGCACGTTGTCCGCACGACGCGCGGCGCACACGAGGGTACGCCGCGCGAGTAGGCAGTCAATTCCAAAGCGTACGTCATCACACGCGCACGCGCTCTCCGTCGCTCCTCCGCACACACCACAACACACCACACAGCAGCACACACACATAGTGGCCGCACGCCAGCGGGCTCTCGCACGTGTTTCGTACCGTAGCTCCACATGGGGGTTGTGGCGGAGACGCATAGCGACACTGCTTGGCCATTCTCACGGAGCAGCAGCTACCCACAAGCCGCGTCAAGAACGACAACGACAGTTGCCGCGGCACTCTCGCGCATCACCCGACCGCAGGGGCACCGGTAGCAGCCCGCGTGCGGCTTGAAAATGAGCGCTTTGACCGCTTACAGCTCTCTTCTCTCTCGGCGTCACGGCATCTCTTTCCCCTGATGTAGACGAGCAGCTTGCGGAGATGCTACTGGCGTGCTCGCTAGGTCAAGGGATGGCACGCATACGGACGCACGTGAACGCGCACACGCAGACACGCACCAGCTCAGACTTACTATCTAACGATTATTCCGTACGGTTGCTCATCCGCCACGCGAGGTGGTTCAGTTTTCCCGAGTTACATATGAGGTGAGGATTGTCATCATCGTTGGTGCGCACAGCAGCGTGGTCTTCAGCGGCTCTAGGACATTGTGTTGAACCGCGTGGGGGATGAGTATTGCCCTCCGCAGCCTGCCACGTTCCAGCCGCACAAACATACACATGCACACGTACAGGGGGAGAGTTGAGGGCGGCGCAGCACGCGCGGTCGCGTCAGTGCCGTGTAGTAGTAGGTGCATCAGAGTTCAGACTCGTCTTCCAATTATGATGTTGATCACATCTCAGCAGATTCATCACGCCGACCGCTGCGTCGCCTCCGCGCTCTCGCTCTCTCGCTGTCTCCTCGGCACCTCCGCTCCGCCCGCCACCGCGCACGCATGCTCTCCGCGCGGCGCACTCAGCTGTTCTTTCTCGATTGTGAAGTTCCTTTCGCGTGTCACTCAGATGTGGTGTCAGCGTGTCGCGATGCGAATAGAAAGGTCATCCGTGTGACGCCGGGGAAGGGGGTGGGGG